CCTCTTCTCTCCTCCCTAAGCCACATCTTCTGCTTTTTGGCCAGGTACATTGCTTCAACTTCCAATATTGTTTGCAACAGCATCTTACTCTTTTTGCCAGGCACGCCATTTCCTCTACCCATTACCCATCTACTTTATCTCCAACATCCTATGGTCACACCAAGACCAGTGTTAGGTGTTAACTGTTATTTCGGGCAGCAGCAACTCTGTGGTTGGAAATATTCTGTATGGTATGGCGTGATGTGTCAGCCACACCCGTTACACATAAAGTGTACTGATGACTGAGGCCTGACAGAGGGCCAGGGTCATATCAGAATCCGGAGATTTCCATTAAAGTTTAAAGTTCAGTCTTTGAACTCACTGTAGCTAATAATGAGTAGCTTATATTCTACCTGCCGCAATATGTTTCTTAATGGTTTTCAGCACTAATTGGGTGTTAAATATTTTATACGTTTATACATTAAACCATTCTCAGAACATATTTCCAATAAACTATTTAGCTGCATTTTACATTTTTTTTTACAGATGATGGAAATGAATCTTTTTTTTTTTTTTTTTTTTTGAGACGGAGTTTCGCTCTTGTTACCCAGGCTGGAGTGCAATGGTGCGATCTCGGCTCACTGCAACCTCCGCCTCCTGGGTTCAGGCAATTCTCCTGCCTCAGCCTCCTGAGTAGCTGGGATTACAGGCACGCGCCACCATGCCCAGCTAATTTTTTGTAGTTTTAGTAGAGACGGGGTTTCACCATGTTGACCAGGATGGTCTCGATCTCTTGACCTCGTGATCCACCCGCCTCGGCCTCCCAAAGTGCTGGGATTACAGGCTTGAGCCACCGCGCCCGGCCGGAAATGAATCTTAAAGGGGTTATATAACCGACTCAAGTTTGCAATCTACCAAAAGCAGAATCAAGCCCTTGAAACTACTTACTTTTGACACCTCATATTTAGCAGGTTGAAGAAGCAGAAAGAGTGATCACCTGATAAGGATTGACTAGAAATTAGTTTTGAATGCAGAATAGTCTTTGAATCCTCATCATTTTATTTAGCTTGTGGTGTTGTTTTTGTTGTTGTTGTATTTTTTGTAGAGATAGGGATCTCACGTTGCTGCCCAGTCTGGTCCCAAACTAAGCTCAAGCCATGCTCCCACCTTGACCTCCCAAAGTGTTGGAATTACAGGTGTGAGCCACCGCACCCCATCCGATAACTGTTTACATATAGTTTTGGTCTTATAAAGAACCTCACTGGAGGCTGGGTGAGGTGCTCACTCCTGTAATCCCAGCACTTTGATCACCTGAAGTCAGGAGTTCGAGACCAGCCTGGCCAACATGGCGAAACTCTGTCTCTACTAAGAATACAAAAGTTAGATGGGCGTGGTGGCATGCCTGCAGTCCCAGCTACTTGGGAGGCTGAGGCAGGGAGGCTGAGGCAGGAGAATTGCTTGAATCCAGGAGGTGGAGCTGACAGACTGCACTTGGTTGCCCACGCTGGAGTGCTTTGAGCCAAGATCGCACCACTGCGTTCCAGCCTGGGTGACAGAGTGAGACTCTGTCTCAAAAAAATCAAACAAAATTAAAAAAAAAAAAAACTCATTTTTTTGTTTATTTGTTTGTGTTTTTTTGATGATTAAAAATCGTGGCAAAATTGTACCTGCAGGAAAGATGGATATGCATTGTAAGGCACAGGTTTGAATAGACATGCATGGGAGAATGCAAGGGTATGTATAAGATTAGTACACAAATACATGCATACATACAAATAACTCAGAACATTTTTTTTACTTAACCCTCAGACATCTCACTGAGAGGTTGCAAAAAAATGTTATACAAATAATGAGAGCATTTCCTCCCATTAACCTAACTTCAAACAAATCCAAATAAATTCTAAGTTTTAAAAAAGACCATCCATTTTGGTGCCAACATCCTTTCAAGTAAAGTATTTATATACTGAAGTATTATAAAATCCATAAATAGATATTGTTATATATAGACAGACACTTTCATGAATTAAATTATGTTTCTTAGAAGACAGAGGCATGAAAATAGAGAAACCAGGAAATAGAACATGTAACTAAAAACTTACTAGGACTTTAAAAACCACCCCTTGGTCACACAAAATTACGGGGATAACTTAGTTTAATTATCTGTCTAAATATGGATTTTTGCCTCTATGAGAAAGATCAGGCCAGGCGTGGTGGCTCACACCTGTATTCCCAGCATTTTGGGAGGCTCAGGCAGGTGGATCACAAGGTCAGGAGTTCAAGACCAGCCTGACCAACATGGTGAAACCCCATCTCTACTAAAAATACAAAAATTAGCCAGGCATGGTGACACATTCCTGTAATTCCAGCTACTCAGGAGGCTGAGGCAGGAAAATCACTTGAACCCAGGAGGTGGAGGTTGTAGTGAGCCGAGATTGCACCACTACACTCCAGCCTGGGTGACAGAGTGAGACTCCATCTCAAAAAAAAAAAAAAGATCAGTCAGTACATAGTCAAGTGTGTGTGTGCATGCTTATATATGCATATGTATAGATATATGTAAATATGTTGTCATTATTACATAATAAACCTACATTCAATATATTTGTGATATTTATCTAAATTTGAACAAAAACTAAAAATTCCCAGCACAATTGAGGCAAAATAAAATACTGTATAATTTTCTTACAGTTATGCAAAATGACTCTCTACATTTTAATTCGTTAGAGGTAGAGGTAGACAAAGGTTAGTGAGGCTCAGCTTGACCATTGCTTTGTTGACTTTGAGCGTGTTCTCTTGTGTCTTCAACTATGAAATTTAAGAACTAGTATTATCAATATCATTGGGTTTATGAAGGCTAGATGAAATAAATTCTGTAAAATAATCAAACACAGAGCCTGGCATAAAGTAGACTCAAAAATTGTTAATTGTTTTATAGACAATCATTAAATATAATCAATTATAGACTATATACTTCACTATTAAAGCATTAGAGGCAAATTATAAAATATTAACAATAATCATTTATAAGACTCTTTTCCTAAGATTTATTTCAAGCTCCTGGAGCTTGAGAATGTATAAATTGTTTAACATGTACTGTGTTTACTCACAGCATGTTAAAAGATGAGTTGGTTAGTTAGATAGAGTTTTACTGGTCTGATTCTTCATCTCCTGTTTGGGTATTTATGTATCTTATTATTCTGAGTTAGGGTATCCTTTTACTTCCTGTGTCTCTTTTTCTTTATGCCCAAGTTCTATCAGCAGATATTGACCATAGAGCTTTGCAATGCAGACAGTTTTGCCTAAAGGCCAAGACAGAGGCTCAGTTCCACTTCACTGACACTTAGTGAAACTACTCAGGCTTTGGACTTTATGACCAATATGTTGACTTTAGTTTGTTATTTCAGAAAGAGAACCCAAAGGGCCACCCAACAATTCACCACAGAGAAACTTGTTACTAGCCACATAGGAGCTAACAAGCTGCAGCTGCAACTGAGCTCTTTGCTGCTCTTTCATGAGGTTTTTACATCTCGCTGGGTCCCATGTGAGGCATAACTTATTATTTAGAAAAGGTGCACATTAAGGACTCAAATTAAGAAATTGTGAAACAAGTTGTGTTTTCTCCACTCTGGCTTCATAAACATCTTTCTATGCTAAACAATCAGGGAGACTGTTAATGTTTTATTCAAAATACATGTTACCAATTCTGTCACCACCATTTGCACACTTCTTTTACTGTATAAACATGTCACTTTGTACATAGGCAGTGTAGATTTAGTTATATGCATAACTTGAACATTATTTTGTTTCTTTTGGAGGCTGCCTATTCCTGAACCACATGTGGAAATGGTAGCTGCTTTGGTTTTTTAAATTTATTTGCTTATTTCTTTTAGTGGGAAGCAGTTTTCTGGTTTCTTTTAATTTGATGCAGATGCAAAAAAGGGAAGCGTTCTTGTGTAATGTATCTGGTCAATATCCATAATTGAATTTGTAATTTTCAGTTAAAATTGAAACTGTAAAATGATATTATACTTGAAATAACAACAGTAACAAGGTAGTTTCCAATGCCTAATATATAACTGCAAAGGCATTGGACAGCATAGATTATAATGGTATGTTGAATAGGAACTTAAAGTCAACATAGCAAACATTTACGATGGCAAGTATTTCCTTGCTTGGATTGTAGCTAAGAAATGGTCATCTCTACTCTTTGGGAAAGGCCAGAACAAGACCCATAAAGTCACAGAATGAATGGCCAATAAGGAGCTGGGTATTTAATTTAAAATGATGTTAGGATCTTTAACTCTAGGACAAGGATAATCAGAGGTAGAAGGAATTTAAAGTGATTTCATATTGCTAGGTAAATTTGTGTAATCTTATTTATATTAAAGAAAGCATTGGACAATAAAATTCCTGATACGTGTACGCATGCACACACACATACACACACACATTGAAATGAGACATACATGTTAAGCACTAGAATTGACATACAATGTGTGCTAAATAACTCTCCCCTAATAAACTTACTAAAATGAAAATTGGTAAATAAAGGAAAAGTTTCAGTATTTATCTTTTCTTTAATAATCATACTGCAGAATAACAAAATAATTGGTGGCAAGTATTTTCTGGAATATAAAATCAGAGGTTGTGTGATAACGGCTACATGAATTTACACATAATAAAATTACATACATACATGCACACAAGCAAATGAATGCATATATAAAACTACTAAAATCTGAATAAGGTCTATAGATTATACCGATGTCAATTTCCTGGTTTTGACATTGTATTGTGGTTACGTAAAATACAGGCATACCTCAGAGATACTGATCCAGGCAACCACAACAAAGCAATTATTGAAATAAATGCTGATCCAGACAACCACAACAAAGCAATTATTGAAATAAAGCAAGTCACATGAATTTTTTGGTTTCCCAGGGCATGCAAAAGTTATGTTTACATCATACTGCACCTAGTAAGTGATCAAAATCATCACATCTAAAAAACAATGTGCATACCTTGATTTAAAATACGTTATTGCTAAACATTGTTAACAATCAGCTGAGCTTTCAGCGAGTCCTAGTCTGTTTCTGTTTCTGGTGGATCTTGCCTCATGGATGTCTGTTGATTGATCAGCACAGTCGTTGCTGAAGGGTGGAGTGACAGTGGCAATTTCTTTTCTCTCTTTTTTTTTTGTGAGATGGAATCTTACTCTGTCACCCAGGTGGGAGTATAGTGGCATGAAAGCGGCTCACTGCAACCTTCGCCTCCCGGGTTCAAGAGATTCTTCTGCCTCAGCCTCCCGAGTAGCTGGAACTACAGGCGCCCGCCACCACGCCCAACTAATTTTTATATTTTTAGTAGAGATGGGGTTTCACCATATTGGCCACGCTGGTCTCAAACTCCTGACCTTGTGATCTACCCTCCTCGGCCTCCCAGAGTGCTAGGATTGCTGGTGTGAGCTGCGGCACCCAGCCCGACAGTGGCAATTTCTAAAAATAAGACAACAATGAAGTTTACTGCATTGACTGACTCTTCCTTTCACAAAAGATTTCTCTGTAACATATAATGCTGTTTCATTGCATTTTACCCACAGTAGAACTTTCAAAATTGGAATCAGTCCTCTCAGACCCTGCCACTGCTTTATCAACTACCTTATTTGTAATATTCTAAATTCTTTGTGGTCATTTCAACAATGTTTACAATGGAATCTTCACCAGCAGATTCCATCCCAAGAAATTTCTCTTTCCTCATCTATAAAAAGCAGTTCCTCACCCATGAAAACTCTGTCATGAGATTGCATCAATTCAGCCACCTATTCTCTTTAAAAAAATTTTATTCCAAGCTCTAGGATACATGTGCAGAATGTGCAAGTTTGTTACAAGGTATACATGTGCCATGGTGGTTTGCTGCACCTATCAACCCATCATCTAGGTTTTAAACCCTGCATGCACTACGTATTTGTTCTAATGCTCTCCCTCCCCTCGCCTCCCACCCCCTGATAGGCCATGTGTGTGCTGTTCCTCTCCCTGTGTCCATATGTTCTCATTGTTCAACTCCCACTTATGAGTGAGAACATGCGGTGTTTGGTTTTCTGTTCTTGTGTTAGTTTGCTGAGGATGATGGCTTCCAGCTTCATCCATGTCCCTGCCAAGGACATAATCTCATTCTTTTTTGTGAACGCATAGTATTCCATGGTGCATATGTGCCACATTTTCTTTATTCAGTCTATCATTGATGCGCATTTGGATTGGTTCCATGTCTTTGCTATTGTAAATAGTGAATTCAACCACATCTTCAGTCTTCATTTCTCATTCTAGTTCTCTTGCTCTTTCTACTGTATCTGCAGTTACTTTCTCCTCTGAAGTCTCAAACTCCTCAAAGTCATCCATGAGGGTTGAAATCAACTTCTTCCAAACTCTTCTTAATGTTATATTTGACCTCATCCCATGAACCACAGATGTTCTTAAATGGCATCCAGAATGGTGAAGCCTTTTCAGAAAGTTTTGAATTTACATTGCCCAGATCCATCGGAGGAATCGTTACTTATTTAATAAATACAAAATATATTTCTTAATTAATATGACTTAAAAGCTGAAAGGACTCCTTGATTCATAGACTACGAATGAATGTTGTCTTAGCAGGCTTGAAAATGACATGAATCTCCTTGTACATCTTCATCAGAGCTCTTGGGTGACCAGCTCATTCTCAATGAGCAGTAATATTTTTAAAGGAATCTTTTTTTCTGAGCACTAGGTCTCAACTGTGGGCTCAAAATACTTAGCAAACGATGCTGTAAACAGATATGCTGCCATCTGGTCTTTGTTGTTTTATACATAGAACACACGTAGAGTAGATTGAGCATAATTCTTAAGGGCCCTAAATTTTTTGAAATGGTAAATGAGCATTGGCTTCAACAAATCACCAGTTAGCCCCTAACAAGAGAGTCAGCCTGTCCTTTGAAGCTGATGCTTTGAAGCAAGGCATTGACTTTCCCCTCTAGTGAAGTCATAGATGGCTTTTCCAGTAGAAGGCTGTTTCATGTACATTGAAAATCTGTTGTTTAGTGTAGCCACCTTTATCAATTATCTTAGTTAGATCTTCTGAATAACGTGCTGTAGCTTCTTCATCAGCACTTATTGCTTCACCTTATACATTTATGTTATTTACATGGCTTCTTTCCTTACATCTCATGGACCAACCTCTGCTAGTTTCCAATATTTTTTTTCCTGCAGCTTTCTCACCTCTCACAGTCTTCATAGAATTGAAGAGTTAGCACCTTAGGCTTTGGCTTAAAGAAACATTATGTGGCTGGTTTAATCTTTGATACAGACCAGTAAAACTTTCTCCATATTAGCAATAAGGCTGATATATATTATGTATATATGCATAATTTGCATGTTCACTGGAATAGCAATTTTGATTTCTTCCAAATACTCTTTCTTTGCATTCACCATTTGGCTAAATGTTTGTGTAAGACCGGCTGCCTTGCAGAGGGTTAAACGGACACATCCATCTCTCTCCATGCCTGATAACTATGTCATTACCCAAGCTCGTTATCTGGCTTCCCCGCATGGCTTCCCTGCACCCGCCTCTGCATACCATACCCAAGCCTACACTCAGCACTAAACTATGCATCCAACCCCCAGCCCGCTGTTGAAAAATGCTGCAGAAAAATTTTTTAAAGAAGCCCCACCAAACCCTGCCCTCTACCTTACCCAAGGTCCCACCCGCCTACCAAAGGCAACTAGCTCTAGGTATTTCCTGCTTCTCAACAGCCAATAAAATTGCCTTCGCTCTGTTTCCCCAATAGCCAATCAATTGCCTTCCCTCCCCATAAAACCCCACACCCTAAAAAGTGGGGCTTGACTTCTTTAGCCCCTTCCTAGACCACAAAACCTCGCCCGGGGGCTAAATAAATTAGCTTCTCATTTTCTTATACTTGCCTCAGCTTCCTCATTTTATCTCAGCAATAAACCTTACAGTTTGACTGAACAGACCTTTTGGCCTGTGTAGGCTTTCAAAATGCCTTCCTCACTAGGCTGAATCATTTCTGGCTTTTGATTTAAAGTAAGAGATGTGTGACTCTTCCTTTCACTTTTACTCGAGGTCATCGTACTGTTATTAACTGGCCTAGTTTCAGTATTGTTGTATTTCAGGAGATTGGGAGGCCTAAAGAAAGGAAGAGAGATGGATAATGGCTGCCCAATGAAGCAGTCATAACCGTACATTGATCAACTAAGTTAACTCTGTTATATGGGTGCTGTTTGTTGCATCACAAAACCATTTCAATCGTAACATCAAGCATCGCCGGTCACAGATCACCATAAAAGATACTGCAATGACAGTAAAAAAGTTTTAAATATTGCAAGAATTATCAAGATGTGAATCTGAGACAGAAAGTGAGCACATGCTGTTAAAAAAAAAAAAAGGCACTGATAGACTTGCGTGAGGCAGGGTTGCCACAAAACCTCAATTTGTAAAAAATAACATACCTGTGAAGCACAATAAAGTGAAGTGCAATAAAATGAGGTGTGTCTGTATTATCACTGGGGAAACCCAACAGCAGGACGAGGGAGCGCCCTATGCTATTTTTGTAACTTTTTTTTTTGTCCACCTGTATTCATTTTAAAATAAAAACTGAAAAAAAAAATCCCAGAGGTTAACAGTAGGCAGTATTCTTATTCCCTTGGTATTAATGCTAGCTACCATCACTTTCCTTTTCTTCTTATGCCTCAGCCACATTGTTGATTCTCCCACTCCTCCTTAATAAATGGTGACGCCACATCAAAGATGGTAAATTCAGAGGTGGCGGATGTGCTGTTTCCAATCAAAGCTTGTGAAAGTCATTGCTGCTCTTTTCTTTCTTGATGAATATGGACGTGAAGATTTCTCTATCCAACACACTCAAATATGTGTTCTTTACTCTTGTCTTTTCCCAAATACTGTATTTTAACATGAACTTGCACATGTAAATCAATAGTAGACTCATTCAGAAAGATCTATCTTGAGAAAAAAAAACAAAACAAAATGAAAATAACCAAGTATGAAAAGCAGTTACCAGTTTGTCAAAGTGCATCCTCCTAGAAGTTTAGTACCTCAGAATTTTCTCTAGATAATCATTGCTACCTGTTAGGGACCAGAAAACCCCGTCTGTGCAGGCTGACCCCTTCCCCTGCTCTGATTGCTCTGCAGCTGCATTTCTGAACCTCTACCCAGGCGCCCCATCAAGGCTGCCAGACATGCTACAATTAATCAAAGCCTGATTACAGCCATCCAGGCAGCTCAAGGGAGGGCACGGAGAACATATGTTGGTTATCCATAATTGTAAATTCCTGTCTGACACATATCTGTAAAAAACTCCTGGTTTCTCTCTTTTTTTTAAAAAAGGTTGTTGCCACAAAAGTCACAGGATAATGTATTGTAGGTCTATCACAAGTTAACAAACTATCTCTGTTCCTGTTACCAGTGGATAGATTATGCCCCTCTCACCCTATATAAACCTCTTGTTTTGTAAGCTGAGGGCCACCTCCTCTGACTCTTACGGAGCAGCCTGCAGGTTAATAAAACTTTCTTGCCTGACTTTGCCTCTATTCTCCTTACTCTCGGCTACCCTTACACTACCCCCACCTTTTTTTTTTTTTTTTTTTTTTTTTTTG